AGATTTTAATTAAAGATGTCTTCTTTCTTACATTTACTATGTTTGTATTATGTCAGCAATATTATTTACTAAATGCTCAATTGAGTTGTCTATTGTTTTCAAAACTACCCAATGCATCCTGCCTTTTGAGTTAGAGTGATGTTTTGCAAAACAAAATTTGGAATTATTCTCTGTACTTCCAATTTCTCAAAGCATTTAAGAATTGGCCCTAGGACTGGGGAGATGACTCAGTCAGTATAGGTGATCACAAGTATCAGGATCTGAGTTTGAGCCCCAGCACCCACTTAAAAATTGGGGGACTGTATCATCACTTAACTGTAATCTTAGGACTGCAGAGACAGGCAGAGGAGTATCTCAGGCTTGCTGGGCAGACTGTATATCCTAATCAGTAAACTCAGTGTGCTGGATAGCTTTAGTGTCACCTTGACACACCTGGATTGAGGGAGCCTCAGTTGTGGAGTTGCCTCCATAGGACTGGCCTGTGGCCATGTCTGTAGGGCATCTTCTTTTAAGTGATGCAGGAGGGCCAGCCCACTTTGGGTGGTGCCATCCCTAGGCAGGTGGGTCTGTGTTGCATAAGAAAGCAAACTGAGCAGAGGCCAAGGGAGGAAACCAGTGAGCCTTGTTCCTCCATGGCCTGTGCTCCAGCTCCTGCCTCCAGGTTCCTGCCCCGAGCTCCTACCTTTTCCTCTCCAAGTTGGTAATGGTCAGAGAGTTTTGCACAAGAATGGAGACTCAAACCAGAACACTCAGGTTGAGTGAGAGACACTCTAACAAAAGATAATGTGGAGATCAGTTAAGGAAGATTCCTGATTTCTCCCTTGACCTCCACCCACACTTGCATGTATGTACTTACACATCCACACACAAACACATCCACACATAGATACACATGTACACACAAAAAAATTGTATTAATTCTTTTAATGTTTGTAGAATTCAGTCACAAAGACACCTTATTGCTGACATTATTTTCTGCGAATTTTAAGATTTTATTTATTTTTAGTTTATGTGTATGAATGTTTTGCCTTCCTGTGTGTTAGTGCACCAAGTGCATGCAATACCCACAGAGGCTAAAAGAGGGCATCAGATTTCCTGGAACTGAAGTTGTGAGCCACCATGTGGGTGCTGGGAACCAAACCTGGGCTCCCTGAAAGAGCAGTCAGTGCTCTTAACTGCTGAGCCATTTCTCAAGTCCCCTGTGGCTGTTTTTCCAGAAAAACAAGGAATCCTGGCCTTGTTTCCTTGTTTTCCCATCATCCCCATTCCTACTCGCCCCCAGGCCCCCCAATTTTTCCACCTGCCTGAAGGCCTGTGGCTATCCACTGCTGGAGGCTTTTACACACACACACACACACACACACACACACACACACACACC